AAAAAAAAAAAAAAAAAAAAAAAAACCAACAGAGACATGCTCTAGGCCTTTTGCACTAGAGAAATAAATTGTGTTGAGGAGACAACATAAATTCATTAAGTTCGAATAATTGTGAATATTATTTATTTTAATTTGCATGAATAAAATATTACAATATACATCCTAACATCAAATAAACAACACTAGTTAAAAAGCATATTCCTCTTCATTATCGAATGCAAAAACAAAAAGTGTCTATGCTTGCTTCTCTTTTCATCAACTTTATTTCCACCATCTCAAATTTCCTCCACTATAGAAAATAGCAGCAGCAGAAGCCATAATTCCTTCTTAGAAACTTCAAAAAGCCAATAAGCATTCAAGAATAAAAAGTCAATTTTGCTACACATAAATCACAACCAGGGTTGGTCCTAAAAATTTTGAGACCCTAGGTGACTCATTATTATGAAATCCTTAAACGTAAATTTTTACAAGTGTAAAAATACTTAAATATGTAAATAAACAATATATTCATATTTTAAAAGATGACTTGGTACCATCCAAAAGGTAGAGTAGTAAAAAAGTCTCAACAACTCGAGAGAATAGGACAACACAATATTTAGTAAAATTATCCCGTTGAAGGGAAAAATATTATTAGAGTGTAAATAGTAATCCCCAGAATTATTATTTGGGAAAACTCAAGTAAGGCGTAGATATCATGAGAAAGTTTTATGAACCATAATTTGGAGTCATGAAACTATTGCAAAGATGACTGGTAAGAAGAACGATGATTTTCAGTTACAAAATGTGCAAAAATTAGGAACTAGGTTGTAAAATAGTGGGAAATATATACTTTTAGACTATAAAACGACGAGTTAGGATTATTTAGTGATAAGAAACATAGCCAGATTCTAATCATTTTCATTCAAAGACCCTCTATAAATTTGAGATTTTGAGGAATTAATGTGAAAATAATGTATTTGGACTATATATGTGTTTATTGGATGGTCGAGAATTACCCTATCAATATTGGACTCATTTCGAAATTCTTAATAAATGGCATATTATGGACTTGAGAAAAATTTATTTTGGGCAAACCAAATTCAAGTTATAACTCAATTTATTTTGGACAAACCAAATTCATGTTACAACTCATTAAAGTAAACTGCTTGATATGTAACATTAATTTTCAAATTAAATCATATTACTCTAACAATATTGAACTCATTTCGTAACTCGTAATTAATCAAATATATCAAATTCGAGAAAATTTTATTTTTGAATAAAATTAAACCAAGTTAGGATCGATCACAAAATTTTTAGCTAAATGAATATTTAATTAGTATATCTTTTAAAAATTAGTATTTTAATAGGCCTTTTAGCATGTATTGAATTTCATTTTGAGGCCCTAGGGCTTGTCCTGATCATAACTTACGGATTAGTTTGCCAACAAATGATTTGGTGAAATTTGATTGGATCAAAATCTCATCAACCAACTGCTATATTAGTTTTCGGTTGAATAATTTTTTTCGGTGTCACAGCAATGATAGACAACCCTCGGACTGAAGGGCCTGAACACGCCTCTAAACTTGTTGGAAGAGATTAGGGAATGTATGCTATGACTTCTCAACACGATTGAAGTTTGCTTATGGTTATGAATTTTGTATTCAACGAGGGTAAGTTTAATGGAAGTTCGGTTAGCATTCTTGGAAGGAATCCTGTGCTTGATGGAGTGAGGATAACTTCTAGTTGAAAGATTCAGCGTTTCTATAAATTTTTTCCCCATTTTTCAGTCAATTTTATACTATAAGCACAGAGAAGAAGGATTCAGACAATTACGAGTAAAATCACATTTAGGACACTTCAAAATCACATCAGAAACAATATTGGTAGTAAAGCAATTGAATCGTATTACGCCATTAGCTAGATACATTGATGTGCATTCTTGAATCGAAGAATAGACATACAGTACAATTATGAAAGTTTTTTCCATCCTTTTATCCACGAGAAATATGCTGTTGGAAAGGGAAACGACAAACTAAAATCCTCTATACAGAAATGAATATTGGAGAAGAGAAACAAAATACAAAAATCATCTGATTTCGAGGCTAACGATGATCAACTGTACCTTCTAAACCTCCATGCTGAAGCTGAGAAAAGTGGTTGATCATGCCAACAGATTATAAAACAGCCATTTTCGACTTTGATTTTATATCCATCATAGTTATAACTATGTAATAATCTCTTTGCCTGCATCATGACATGGTAGCTCAAGGGGACCTTGGCAAAACCAGCCAACTCAAACCGAGGAATCCATTTGTCAAGCTTCTCGTGCCTCTTCTTTCTATCGAGACCCTCACAAGATATAATATTCTTAATTTCATCTCCAAATAGCATCTTTTCAATCTTTTGACGCTCTATGGATGCCCTTGGTGCAGTCGACTCCAAGCCATCAAACAGTGCTGCATAAAATTTCAATGCTTCCATGAGTCTCTCCATTAAATTAAACCCGTTGTGGTTTGATTCTTGCTCAGTCACCACCATTAACTTTGGGGAAAGACCCGAAATGGCGTTTAGAAAACTTGCCATCTTCGGTGGAATGGGCAAAGATAGTGGCGAAGACGATTCAGAATCTGGGCTGGCACCATATGTATTAATCATGTCCTTATCAAGAAAGTCACCTAAAGTGTGTGGATTCAACTGCAAGACTCCTTGAAAGTGAACAGAATTAGGACTCTTATTCACCATGGGGGAATTTCTCCGTAGCATCTCATCATCAACAGCTAATAGAGGGTGTAGCTGAAGCACAGAACTTAAAGCAACGGCTTCTCCGGACTTGACACGTAAACATTCAACATCAAGATTCTCTAACCTGCTAACAATGGGATTAAACTGAAATGGGACGTCTAATGTTTCAGCTTCCTGGCTCAATCGATGAGCCATTTGATCTAATACCACTTTCTGTTCATTAATGCCTGTAATTATTAGATGAGGCGGGCCTTCAGGGCGCTCACTTAATGCCTGAAGGAGACTAATCCACTGTGCAGGCTCAAAAGAATGGAGGTCGATAATGTGAACCACCTTCTCACCTTCCATTGCTTCAAGAATAGCCTGGTTTGTGATCACATAAGCAAGCTTTAGAAAGGGACAGAACTCGAAGAACAACTTCTGAACAAGAATTTCCTCAGTCATCCACGTTATTTTGGTGGAATTAAGGGCCTTGTGCAGTCCAGTCCAACCTTTAAGCATACGGTCAGCAAGCGCTTCAATGAAGTACGCTGCAATTCTCTGCATGGAATCGCCATCGGGTGATGCAAGATGTGAAATATATTCAAGACCAATATTTGCATTCTCGACATTACCAGCAGCAACATGATTAGCACAAGCAATAAGAAGATGGATCAGAAAAAGACCTCGATCCTCAGATCTCATTTCCTGGAGCGAAGGAAATGGTGATCCTAAACCAGGTGAAAGAGACATCATGGAAAACAAATGCAGAGGTGACGAACTTACAGACGATGATCCCTTCTCTTGAACCATCCCTGCTACCAACAGTAAAATCTACCAAGCAAAATATAATAGCAATTACCTGCAATGTGCAAAGATACCCAAAATAAGACCATTTCCTATGTGCTTGAGCATTGTGCATCAAAATAGTGGTTGAACATAGACAAGATACAAATATACAATAGAACCTCAACATCAATATTTTAGTATCCCTATATTAACAAATTACACGAATTGACAAAATATAAAACAGCCTAAACGTGGGATAATTGAGTATGAGTGTGCTGTGTTTGTAAGTTCACGACTATGGAATTTTATTAATTCAACCTTTTCAGCAATCCGAATTCAGTCATTCGGATGCTTTTCTCATGTGTGTAACAATATCAGTTCTTAACAAGTACTAGAACATGACTGATAGATAAGCAAATATCTAGATCACATTCGACACCCACACCCCCTTTCATTTATCTATATCACCTCAATATTAAACGACAGATATCGATAAATTCGCCTGAACCAAGCTGAAACATGACTTAATCATGGTCATCTTTTGATTAAAAAAGTTGAGCACAAAATATAAACTTCAAATAGTTTTTCCCTTCCCACAAAAATTTACAACTTAAGACATGGAGCTCTGATTCTGAACTAGAAATTTAACAAATGGGATCAGAACCATTGGAGCCTATCATAGATCATGAGACAACCACAGTACATTTAACCATATTTTCATGCACCCAGAAAGCTAATAATGTACAAGCAAGTTGAATTTCAACATATATGCAAATGCAAACAAGATATCATCAAAAGGGTTGCCCCATGAAATAATAGCATGAAACTGGGGAATAAAAAATCAAGAAACCTACCAGCAAAGGTGAATAAATAAATTCCAAACTGGGTTTTGCAATTGCTGAAAACCCCAGGAAATTTAAATCCTCGGATTACCCTTTCTCGTCCTCCAAATTGGATTTCAGAAGTGATGAGGGTAAGTTTTTATTGACATTGTAGTGAAGTGAGTAAAATGCAATTATAAAGCATTTCTTGTCTAAAATGAATTTACTATGGCTGCTAAGAGATTGTTTTTGTCCTTTATTGGATTGTTGTCCCTCGGGGGCTTCAGAGGAATACGAGATTCGTAAAATTCTTAGCTTTCCATTAATATTTCTTTTTATCACTAAGCATAGTTGATGGGAACATGAGCTGGCCAAAGTTTGGTTTTATTCTCAAACGCAACACAAATCCAAGAAAGTAACATAGGACAAAAACAAAACGAATATCTTGACTTGTTTCTTAGTGGGATATACGGGGAGATTGCATAGACCGCTCCGTAAATCCACCCCACTCTTACCCCACGACATCAAAATGCCTCCAAAACCACTAATTTGTTTGCTTGTGCAAAGGCATAGACCATCCACTTGTTATTATCTTCTTGAACACAAATGGACAAGGAAGTTGAGCAAAATGACAAAAGTAGGTGGGCGAGCATATAAATTTTGGGTTGGAAGCTTGGATGGGAGTCCTTGGACTATGCTAAAAACTGCATACCTTAGAATTACTTTGTCATTAAGATTTCTATTTTATATAATTTTTTCAATCTCGTTCATGTTTTACTGAGGCCCTGTTTGAGTCTCATTCTTTTAAAATTTATATTTCTAAACAATGATTTAACATCATTTCAACATCACATTCTTCAATAAAAATAATATTACATGCAAATCTAAAACTTTTCTTCATTTTTTAACAAGACATTGTCCATCGATTTACCATTTCAAAATATATTCTTTCAAAATAATGTGGCTCAAACACACAATAAGAAAGACGTCATTCCATTGTACTTATATTCATTTTTGAATCGTGATGCCATTCTAATATACTTTATTACTTCTGGTTTCTTAAACAAGCGCTTAGATGGTGATGTTTTCACTTTGTGATTATCTAGTTGAGTGAAAAGCTTTGATTTTTAATTATAACAGACACGAAATTTTCACTAATCGAATTAAAGATTGGAATTTAAAAGATGGGCTTGTAAGAGTTTCACAATACTTTATCCAATTTAATTGATGTGCCATGCATGAAAGGATAGCATAAAAGTAAGAGGTAGGTATAAATTACTTATAGTTACATACTACCACCGTATATTTTACAGTCAAAACATAATTAGCCCTAGCTCCAATCAATTCAAAATTGAAATTGCTCAAAAATTACTTATAATTACATACTACTACCGTATATTTTATGGTCAAAACATAATTAACCCCTAGCCCCAATCAATTCAAAATTGAAATTACTCAAAAAATTCTTTCAATCAAAGAATGTTAGAAATCTAAAGTGGCTTCTTCAAGATTCCTTAGGTAACAAGATAAAATATTNACTCAAAAAATTCTTTCAATCAAAGAATGTTAGAAATCTAAAGTGGCTTCTTCAAGATTCCTTAGGTAACAAGATAAAATATTTTTCTCAACCATAGCTTTTATTTCAGAGATTATAACTTTATAAATATATAAACTTTCAAATTTTAGTGTTCAAATTCATCTCCAATTTCTATTTTGATTTTCGAAATACATTGGAAGTTCATTTTTCTAGGTAATGTACTCATTTTCCTTTGAAGATTTTTGTGATGGTATATATGAAAATTCAACTTTGGAATTTCTTAGAGGTGTGATTGGTTCAAACAGGGTATTTGAGAATTTTGTTTGAGAATTTTTAGGTTTTTGTTTGTATTTTTATACATGAAAATTCAATTTTAGATTAATGGTCCTGATTTACTATATATGAAATGAATAAATTAGAGAGATGTATACAACATGATTTTGAAATTGCAAAGATGAATTATGAATTAAGCTTTGCATTAGAAAGTTACGGTTCCACTTCTTAATAAGAGGTCACACACACAATCTAATTTGAATTTTTGTAATAAACATTTTACTTAAACTTATAGAAATATTTTAATTGATATTTAGATCTTAGTTCGCTCTATTTTTGGTTGGATATGAATTAAGATTGTACATTTGAAAGTAACATAGTGTGTCACTTTTTAATTAAAAGGTCACACAATATCTAATATGGTTTTTCATTGAGTATATGTCATGGCGGTATCAAAACATCGCATAATTGAATATTTTGAAGACGAATACTTTTGGATGCTGCTACTATTAAAGTCGAAAATTTGAATTCGTCAAAAATAAATTCTTTTTCAAATGAATTACATCAACCAAAAGATATTTTTTCTTAGAGAAATTTGCTCCAATTTCCTTCTACAAAAATCTTTGCCTTGTAATTCAAACAAACTTCCAACTTAGTTTAACTATTAAGTGGTCAATCGAGTTCACATTTCGAAACATGACCTTAACATTTCATAGTTAAACCAATAATCAAGACAAAATAACCCCATAACTTAGGAGTGAAATTGTTCCTACACGACCCAAACTAGTTAAGAGCATCTTGAAGAGACTCGTTATTTATAGAGAGAATTTTATACACAGGGCTAGTTTTGCATAGAGGCGAGTGAGGTTCACGCCTCAAGCCCAACATTAGCGGGGGCCCAAAGTTTAGCATCTTTCACTCACTCACTCACTCTCTCTCTCTCTCTCTCTCTCTCTCTCTCTCTCTCTCTCTCTCTTAATAGGTAAATTAGGTTCACTATAATTTTTTCATTAAAAAATTGATAATTATGAACATTCCAATCCATTTATAAATAAAATGTTTTTTTCATCGTGGAAATTTCATTTCTAAATTAGGCCCATTTCAAAAGTAATAGAAGAGGACAAGTGACTTATGATTTCTAAAACTCATGTTTCAATGATTTCTTAATTCTATTCAACTTGATCGTTACATAGATGGTGTTCGATTTAATTATTTAAAATAAGAGACTTTTACTTCACTTGATAGAAATTAACAGAAACCCTAAAACATAGAGTGAAATCGAGTCTTTATCGACATATGAACTTCATAATTTTGAGTTCTTGCATGACATGGTAATTCGGTACATATTGTTGCATACATTCAACATTATGAGTAAATTTCTTTAAATCAAAAATATGGTTATTGATGGTGCTATCAACCTCTTACAAGGATTTATTTCATTTCTCAAAAATCATAGAGAAACTGAATTTTTCTATTTTCGTGAATAAACTGACAAAAATAGAAAGTAAAATTGGAACTGAAGTTTATTTCCGAAAAACGTAGGAAAGAAATTGATTTGTTTATATTGTTTTATTGTAAAATTTTAAATTTACAACTTAGTTATTGATTCCATAATACACTTATATTTTTTACATACGTACTATATTTTTGGGGTCTAATTTATGAAATTTGCCTCAGGCCCTGAAAATCACATAACCGGCATTTTTTTATACATAATAGGTAAGTGATTTATTTCTATGCACTCTAAAAATACTCCCTATTTTGATTTTCTATTTTTTTTCAATGAACATTTATTATTTTATCCTAGTCTCTTATTTAACATAATTATTTTATATGTTAATAGTCAATCAATTCAAATGTGATTTGAATAATTTAAATTACTGAATATTGAAATTTGTAGCGTATTAACTGTAATCATTGTTAAATTAAGAATAAAGAATGAATTTGGCTCAAACCCACTATTTATTTTAAATAGTTCAAATAGAGAGATTTTTATGTATCAACTCTCTAATAAAAAGAGTATTTTGTGTTTAGAGAGTTTGTTCGAGATGATCTTACTTGTCACCGACGAATTTGTGTCCATTCATAGAACCCAACACAATAATGTTGGAAATTGATGGAGGACCAATTTGCATATGAATGAGAAATTCGGTCCTATTTGAAGGAAATTAAAATTTGGGGTGTGTCCCTTCACCCACCACCCTTTAACTCCTATATATATTACTATCTGGATGTTTATTTTGATCATCGTATAAACTATTCTTCCATGTTATGTTGCATAAAACACTTTGTAGAAGTGATTTTATTTTGCATCAAAATCATGGCTATGGTAGAGAGGGAATTTCGTTCGAGTTCGTTGGTCGAAACATTTGGAGTGCTCCTATGGCTTAACCTAGTCGTTGTATATTGGGAGATGATTGTCGGAGAATCGTTAGCACCGATGCGGGACATATTCATCTTAAGGACAAAATGTCCAACACTTGCATCATCCAAAAATCCATCATTTGCATTTTCTTGCTTCATTTTCTGATTCTTTTGATTACGCTTTGATTTCAAAAATTCATTAACCTTGTTTACATGTTTATTTTGTAAGGTTCGATCGACTTTCATTTAAAAGTAGAAATGGATTAATCCATATTCATACGTTCAAGGCTCGATAAATTATTGATTTATTTTCTCAAATCCATTTCGGCAAGTCGAAATTATGTTTCGATTTCACGCAAATAAACGACATGATTTTTTTGAATATAATATGCACAATATCGGTGTAATTTCTCCAACAGTCTTAAGATGAATTTCGATGCTTTTGTGCATTCTATATTTTGTTTAGAATCTGCCCACGTATTGTTTGATTAAGAAAAAAATTTAAAATTGGGTTATATCCAAGACTATTATTTTATATTCCATTTGCCACAAAGTAATGTACCATTTTTAAAGTTGGCAGTTTCTTTTACCAAGTATTTGTGCCTGAGGAGTTTTTGTACAAAATTAAATACTCTATCAATAAGAGCACGTATATTAATGACGTGACCCTTTTGAAATTCTTGCAGTTATGCTTTATATGAATTTAATGGTGACACTTCAATTTTAAATGCAATTTAAACTTGGTGGCAAAAGGGGTATATTTGACTAGAATTATTTTTCTATGTAAGAATTTGGTACTGTTGTGCATTTTGTATTAATTGTGCATGGCTTTAATTTTAATTTGGAAGAATTAAATTGCTATATTCATGTGGTTATTATGAAATGGCATCTGATAGAAAATGCATGTGTTTTGAAAATCACTCTCATGCTCCAGTGTGTATCTTTTCCAATTGTTGCCATGGTTGAATGATAAAAAATGATGGCTATGAATAAAGAATCATAAAAACCAATTGTGTTTGCTATGTAGGCAATAAACGGTTTCCCACTAAAAGTTAATTACAGTGCAGGCCTTTAATATACATGAATCGGTGCCTATTGATCGTTAATTGTGAATTTAATCATGTTGTAATTGCCATGAAATTATAC